GGGGCTGAGACAGTCAGGAGGGAAGGTGACTTGGGGAGTGGGGAGGCATGGTGTAGGGGATGGTGAAGTTGTTAGGAAGGTGTGGTGTGGTGGGAGTGCGCGGGGTCGGGATTCCGGGATATGACACTCAGCCTCCCCATCTCCCAAACCCTCACAGCCTGGTCCTAGTCATCTGGCAAGAAACCCAGTTGAGTTTCAAAGCTTCTCTAATTTAGAAAACCCTCTCCCATTGACTCTGATCATGTGCCCCGCTAGGTATCGATCACCTGTTGTAGATTCCGACTTCGGAGACACCACTGAACAACCCATAGATCCAGTCCACTTCCTTGGACTCAGTTCCAAGGTTCCCAACTTTGTCAACCCTCCTCCTGATGATCCTCCTATCCCTACTGCCCCAGTCACCGATGGTGCCAAGCCTATTCCCAACATAGCTATCACACAGCTAGCCCATGTCATATCCATACAATTCCGACCTCCGCTCCGGGCCCCCAGAACTCCGAACTCCGACTTCCGGAGCCCTACTTCCCTTCCGTCACCTTCTCCTTGCCGACTCCCAAGAGGTTATCCCACCTCCAGCTCGGACACCATCTTTGGTCCGACTCCGGAACATTCCGGGTCCGACCCCAACCTCAACACCTTCCAGACGAGTATGCAAAACCTATGCTCCCGACTCCGGACCTCTGCTCCGGAATCCCGTTCGCATCTCCGTCTCCGGAACCTCCGGTCTTAGCTCTGACCTCGGACTTTGACCCCACCTCCGCTTATACCCATTGTATTGGTTAGCTCATTCCATTTAATTACCTTTGCCAATATTCCGGAGTTTAACTTCTGAGTTCGGACTTTCCGGACTTACCTTGGACCTTGCAACTATTGCATTGGCCTATTCAATTCTGCTATTCTCCCTCATTCCTATTTGGGCTGATGCTTCCTTTCTATTCAGTCAGCTAGCCATTCCCCACTCCCAACCTCCTTCCTTCGTCCTTGGGCCTTGGCCCTTCATTCCTCCTTTGAGAAACACCATTGAGTCAAACCCTTGACCCTCGGTGTTGTTCCTCTTTCGCCTCTGCGGAAGGGGAGACTTGCTCTTCGGTCTTGGCCATGCAGGCTTTAGACATGTGAGAAGAAGACTTAGGGTAGTCCTTTACCCTATGGCCAGACTGTCCACAGAACATGCAAAGTTTCTTGTCAAGACAACGCTTACACTCTTGTGGCATGAGCTTGCCGTTGTTTTGATGGAGATCCGGTTTGGCCAAGCTGGACTTCTTGTTGTCCTTCAGAGGCTTGCTAGCAGAAGCAGGGTTGAACAAGGAGGAGGAAGGGACGGTGTTGGAACAGGAAGCAGTAGTGGTCTTGTCAAAGACATTGGAGGTGGAGGGTTTTGCATGATGAGTTACTTCGGATTTACACTCCCAATAGCGTGTGTCAAAAGTCTGTGACAAAGTGCAAAGTTCCGAAAGGGTGGATGGTTTCCCTACCCTAGCAATGTCATCTTTGATGCATTCTGGCAATCTGTTGTAAAAGAAACAGTGGAGCGCAGCTTCTCCATAACCATGAAGCTGTGATGCATGTCAATTGAACTTGACGACGTACTTGTTAATATGGTGACTGTCCTTCATGTCTAGGATCATAAGTTGGACTTTGGCATTGCCCACAGGATCGTGGGGACCAAAGTTGGTCTGGAGTTCATTGACAAACTCCTGGTAATTATTCATCCAATGAGGGTGAAGTAAGGAATTTTGGTCGAACAGTAGGTCTGGCTCAAACCAATCAAGAGCCATCCCCTTGAGGTAGGACTGCACGAAGATAACCTTGGTGCAGTCACTAGCAAATGCAAGGGGGTGGTCCTGGAAATTTAGTTTGCACTGGACCAAGAATACTCGAAGTTCATGGGGGTCTTTACTGTCGAACTGTTCAGGCTTGCAGACCTTGGTCCAGAGAGCAGAGGATGGTGGAGGAGGTGGGTGACCGGTGTGATGAGCCAAGCTGGCGATGGCCTGGGCTGTTAAAACCGGGCGGATTCGGACGACTCCGGAGTGGAATCGGAGACTTAGCATGGAAGGACCTCGGCCTCAGCGACTCAGGCGGAGCACTGTGCCATTGCTGGTTGTCCTAGGGGTCCCTAATTTCGGATCTAGCAGAGGGAAAGTCTCTTGGGGGGAATTCAGGTCGATTTCGGACTGAGGTTACAAGTTACTATGTACATTGTATATAAGGAGGGGTCCAGAATCAAAAGGAGCGAGGGTAGGATGAAAGGAGACAAAGGGAGATAACAAATTAGTCCACACCCCTGTGGACTCCGCACAGACCGGGGGTTGTGATTCTTCCCTCCGTGCACTCAAAGAAATACGCCTAAATGCATCTTCCATTTCCAACTTGTCCTCCCTCCACATTCCCATTTCTTTTTCTCTTCCTAATGGTCTACTTCCTCCTTTAAATGTTGACCCTTCAGTTAATGTTCTACCCATTGTAGATAGTGTTGATAGTTCACTTTCTTCTTCTCCTCCACCTCTGACTACATCTGTAGATTTTTCCACTTCTCTTCCCTTCTCTTCTCTCACCTCACCTGTTCCTACTTCCCTGTCCGATATTAGGACAAGAAATAAACTCTTCTGCACCTATGAGAACGTTCCAACAGTCGTAGACTCTGGGTCCTCGGACTGCTTCATCAATGACAAATTTGTGAAGGAGCTGGCCCTGAAGACATATCAGATAAAACCTCTACAACTATGCCTTTTCGACAGTAGCACCAACTCCATCATAACCCATGCTGTTGATATTTCCCTCTGCTTCGCTTCCGGAAACATCACCCCCACGACTTTCTTTGTCACATCGCTGGATGGATCTTGTTCTCTAGTCCTAGGACACAACTGGGTTACCTGCTACAATTTACTGATTGACTGGGTCTCAAGCAGTATTATGTTCTGAACTCCTGAACTAACGTTCCATTAGCACCTGTGCCCCAGGCTCCCATTCCTCCGGTACCATCCATCGAGTTCGTCAGCCATTCCACATTCACAAAGACATGTCGACTCGAAGGATCAGTATTCTTCAGCCTGACCATCCCTTCCCAGGACAGCTGCTTGAGGGCTGCCTCTTCCCACACCGATTCCGTTAACCTTTTGGCCATTCTGAAGGAGTACCACAAGTTCACAGACATGTTCAGCAAGAGCAAAGCCTCAATGCTAGCACCACACTGTGAGCATGACCTGAGGATCGACCTTGAGGAAGGCACTTCACCACACTTGGGAACTATGTATTCCCTCTCTACTTCAGAACTCCGGGCATTCTTAGATGAACACCTAGCCTCTGTGTTCATTTGTCCCACTACTTCCACTCACGTGGCACTGGTCCTCTTTGTCTGCAAAAAGGACGGATCCCTCCATCTTTGCATTGACTTCTGAGGGCTGAATAAGATTACCAAGAAAGATTGCCACTGTCACAAATGTCTTTCCTTTAGAGGATAGGTTGATTGCTATCCAGGCAATGCTGTCAGGTGGAGGTCGGTGTTCCAGGTCGTCTGACAGTGAGTTGGAGACAGACCAGAGGTGGGGCAGAGCTCCGAGGGTGATGGGGTGTTGAAGGGACTCAGCTTCAGCGACTTGGAGCGAAGCACTGTGCCCGGTACATTCTCGTTGTCCCCATTTGCCAGGGGAGCTGGCGATGGAGGAACTGAGGCCGCCAGCAGAAGGGGGCCGGAGGCCCCCCCCTCACTACTTAATGGAGGAGGCATTAGTGAGGGTCAATCGTTCGTCACATGATTCATTGGGTGTTATACCAAGGCAGCTCTGGGAGTGCCTGTTACTCAGTTCTTAGGAGCAGCAGACAAGTTGGATGCAATAGACATCCTGGAAGAGGTTATTGGAGGGCTGAATGTCAGGGACGTGTCCAGGGTAGAGGGGGTCCAGATGTATCGCCTGGCAGAGGGGCCCTTGTGGGGTGCAAACCGGGCATGTGCACTGGCAGGTCTGGAAAGGGACAGCAGTCCCTGGCCCCTCAGACTGAAGTGGAAAATGTGAATTGTCATTAAAAGGAAGAACTACCCTACTTACCTGAAGTGGAAAATGTGAGAATGTCACGACCCGGCGTTCCCCGGGGTCAGACGACCTCCTCCCCGACCTTCTCCCATGCCCGAACACTCCCCGCACACTCCGCTCGCTGCCCGTCACCGCCTAACCCCTTCCCGCCACCTCTCCACAACCCCTCTCCTAATTGTTGTTGAACGACCTAGCGGCACAGAGCACCACGACCTGTTGTTCCATGTTTCGCTGCACATTGTTATCTCGCAGCAAAGGTCACGCTTGACCTTTGCTGTCTTGAACACGTGCTTCTTGTTTGTTTTCCTCCTTCTTTTCTCCGCCTGCAATCTCCGCGAGATCTGGCGACTTATTCCCTATTCAGTTCCCTAGCGCTTATATACAGCTTGTAACTAATGCCTGTACTGTAGTTCGAAATCAACTAGAATTCACCCCTAAGCTTACCTCTGTCCCCTGTAAGACCTCCGACCTTCTGAAGTATTGGGACCACGTCGAGAACGAGGCACAATGCTCCTCCTCGAGTCGTTGAAGCTGAAATCCCGGCTCACTTGCCTAAGTAGCCTCGGCCTCGAGATCGGTGGGGTTTATCCCTCACTAAAGCTCGGTCGTGTGTAGGACGCCTTTACCACCAGCGGGCAACGTTCGGTCACCTACAGCTAGCATCGGCGAAGATTCGCACAGTTCTGACAGAGAAGAAGGTTACTTCTTCAGTTCCCACTTCAGGTACTGTCAGGGCACAAGCCCTGGGCCCCCATTACATGTAGTCCCATTGTAGATTAGTGTCACGTGACAGGCGACGGGTTGAAACCTATCACTTATCACCCCGTAATACCCACACCTTTGTGACACTTATGGCCTGGTGACCTGAGCAAACCCCACAGACCTCACACTTTTTTAAGTGCATGAGGTGTGATTAAAACTAATCTACACATCCTTTTTACATCTGTTCTGGGGACAGCGCCTGACATGGCACCGTCATACCCCCAAACGGGGAAGCTTGCATCTGCAGTGAGAACAAAGGGTGGCTTTGTTAAAAAGCCGCAATCTCCCAATTTGGGAGATAACCTAAACACTGCGTCATCAGATGATGACAAAGACCTGCCACATATTGGTAGGACCTCAGGGACAAACCCTGAGGATCCCAAAAACTTACATGGGGGAACAATACCCTTAGAACCCATGTGCCAACATGATCTCTCTGTCATATCCATCCCCGGCCATCGACTTCCATTCCCTCCGATCCCTCTGGTCTACCTCTGCTCCTTCCTCACTAACCTCGGAGCTCCCGTATTCCGCAATCCTCTCGGTACCCCTCGATGGTCACCACCCCCTCCTTTCAATTTATTACCAATGCCTCCCTAAGTACGGAGCCCCAAAGACTTCCGGACAGCTCCGACGTCCGCTAGCGCACTCCTGCCTCCGCTGGGCAATACACTCGCCTGCCCTGCAGAGCCCACCTTCAGGCCTATCCCTCCTTTCTGTTTCTGGGTTATCGCCTGCCTTTCCGCTAACCCCATGACCCGACTCGTCGGTAATATTCAGTCAGCTAATGTTTAACCCTGTTAGCTCCGCTCCGTTTGGCTCCGCCAATTGCAGACCCGTCTTCGCTGTAACCATATATATATCCAACTTGTACATAGGTTACACTCCAGTAGTAAAATCAACTAGAGTTACCCCCCTTCAGTTCTGATTGCCAGTCAGTAAGTTAGGGCACGGATGTGTCACTAGGCACAGTGCTCTTGGCATAAGTTGCTGAGGCCAAAGCCCTCCGCCACAGAGACTCTCCCTCGTCTTGAATCTGGTCTCTGACACTCTCCTAGAAAGAGAGAGTTCTCACCACTGGGTGAGGAGGCAAACATGCACACACGTAAGCGCATGGCTGCCACACTAACAGCCTTAAGGGCTGGGTCAGACACGCCAAAAGAAGTCCCTGAGCCCCACTATCCTCAGGGAACCTCTCACTTGGTGCAAGACACTGACAAAAACAGCAGTAACTCCTGCTGGTGCAGGGGGCCGTTTGTGGCCCCAAGCAATGTGGAAAAATTGTCCACATCGTCTCGAGTCACCCGCATGATATCCAGCTTGCAAGATTGCAGCAAGCCGGTTTACTCCCAAGTCTATTTGACTGGGAGTTACACAAAACCATCAAACGATCACTCCCACTGGCACAGGGAGCCGTTTTTGATCCCAAAAAATGTGGAAAAATCTTTCACATGTCCAGCATCGTCTCGCATTAAACCCAAGACGTCCAGATTGCAATATAGCAGCAATCTGGCTCACTCCCCAGTCGATGCGACTGGAAGTTGTCATAAACAACCAAATGACCATTCCTGCTGGTGCAGGGAGCCGTTTGGAGTTCCAAAAAATGTGGAAAAATCGTCCACATCTACGAAATCGTCTCGCGTCAGCCACGAGACGTCCAGCTTGCGATATAGCAGCAAGCCGGTTCACTCCCCAGTCTATGCGACGGGTAGTTGTGCAAATCGATCAAACGACAACTCCTGCCAGCACAGGGAGCCATTTGTGATCGCAAAAAATGTGGAAAAAACTTCCACATTGTCTACATCGTCTCACATTAACTGTGAGACGTCCAGCCCGCAAAATCGCAGCATGCTGGTTCACTCCCCAGTCTATGTGACTGGGAATCGTGCAAAACAATCGAACAACAACTCCTGCTTGCACAGGGAGCCATCTTTGATTGCAAAAAATGTGGAAAAAACCTCCACATCGTCGTTACCGTCTTGCAACTATAGTGAGACATCCAGCTCGCCGCCTAGGCGTGAGCCGGTTCAAACCCCAGTCTATAAGACTGGGAATCATCAAAAACCCTCATGGGACGACCCCCGCTTGTGTAGGGAGCCAGTCCTGAGTGGAGGAAATGTGGAAAAAACTTTCACACCACCGACACCATCTCACAACCACTGTGAGACACTCAGCGCTCTGTCTGAGAACGAGTGTACACACTCCAACATGGATATAAAGGCCATGTCATCCAGATCGACACAGACTCACAGGTTGAGCTCACTTCCGGACTGTCCTCAGATGGCCTCAGACCCAGCGTGGACACAGCAAAGGGACCAGGTGCAGGAGGATGGGGAAGCTCCCCGAAGTTGATTGTCCAAGAAACTTCTGGACTTTTTCCAGGTCCCATCCGAATGGAGGACAGGAAGTGATGAAGAACTCCTTCTCAGGCTAAAGGCCCAAGAAATAATAGGAGAAAAGGTCGAGGGCAGATGCTCAGAGAGCACAGAGGCTCAGGGGAAGCCACTGCTGCCAAGGCCGAACCCAAAACTTTTGCCAAAAAAAGCGAAGTCACCAACTTCAGATGAGGTCACCGAAGTCTGTAGGAGTGCAATGTGGCAGAAGAAGGAGCCTAGTAAGGAGAACCCACAAATGAGCAGGCAACCATCAACACCAGGCCCCATCTTAGGTGATAAATGGCCCTCCTTGGTCACTTCACCCAGGCAAAGGATAAGTGGAAGTAACCTTCTGCAAAACCCCTCCAGTAATGCTGGAGAGAACCAAACAAACCCTCGTGAAAACTTCACAAGGAAAACTTCCAGCAAAACATTGCTGGAGGATAACGGGCACCTCGAAAGATGGTACCACAAGGCCACACGGATGGCCGAACTTCTAACTTTCACCCCACACATAGACAGGGTGAAGTGGGACTGGTTAAATAATGGTCCTACTCGACTCCCTGACATGAAGTGGTCAGGCGAAAACGATACAGAAATTTTCTGGCAGTGGTACACCACACTGCTAGGATTCCTCACATCACGAGGATATAGAGGTGCACACTATGATGAAATCCATCTGGATTGTCTCATTGGTGGATTGGCAGAGCCTGCACTCTCACACGGACTAAAACTCTGTGAAGAAGCCCTCCTTAGAGATAAAGGGGGGAAATTTCTTGAAGTTCTTGATACTCTAATGAGGACATATATCAAGGAGCCCGCCACATTGAAGGTGATGGAAAAATACTGCAATGTAAAGTACAATGCAGGAAAAGGACCCAGACAGTCCTACCCAGAACCATCGCTTAATGCTAGGTTTCTGGAAAACATCCTCCCTGAATGCAAGGAGGAAATAAGGATAGCTCCAGCCTACAGGCCAGAATGCTATGCCAGACCTGAAACCACTGCGACCACAAATCGTGAAAAGCCCAACCAGGTGGGAAAGGAGAAACATGCAGAGGCAAGAGCCAATGTGCAAGACCCTAAACCCAAATGGAAAGGCGAATCCTCCCTGAAGCAGTCAGGGAACACCAACCAAAGGCCAGTACAAGTACGCAATAATTGCGGAATACCAGAGCGGGCAAAGAGCTGCCCTGAGCACCAGTTAGTCGGAGACAGAAACCCAAGGCACAGGATCGCCAGGGAAGTCAACTACAAAACAGAAGGTGAAGTTGGAGACGACTCTGACGAAGAAGAACCGGAGAATATCTCTGGTGATTGCGAAGTGGAGGACACCTCCAATGACTTTGAACCAGAGGACCCAAACAAGGGACCTCACTACTTGCCCAGAAGAAAGGGCGAGGACATCAGCGTTGGGACCACAATAATGGCCCCAAGATCCGACGTCATTGAAAACAATGACGAAAAAAATACACTAAAACTGGCGATAAGCCAGACCAAAAAAAGAACTACCAACTCTTTGGTGATGACACCAAAGAGGGATTCCCCTGAGGAAAGTCACTCAGAAGACAACACCCCCGAGAAAAAAACCTTGGAGGGAGACCCACTGAAGGAGGACCCTTTGGAAGAAACCACCCCGGAGTCTCCAGAAGAAGACGAGCTCTGGGTGGAGTTTATACTCGGCTGGCTAGTGGCCACAATCCGCCCTCTCCCCAGTAGAAATACTGGGCTGCATCATGCACGATTGGCTGACAAGGCCAATCAGCCCTCCTCGTACCTGAAGGAGGACCAAGAATTGGCAGATAAGATCAAGTAGAGATCCTAACTCCCACTTGTGCAGACAACCCAGTCCGTGCAATCTTGCTGCCAACTATTGGCAGCCTTCCTCTCATACCGAGAGGTTTTTGAAGGTCTACCCGACCATCGACCTATAGTAATATGCTATAGTTTAACTCCTCAGACGGAGGAGACTCCATTGTGTCTGGAAGTGCTCCAGGCCCTCTTTTTTTTTTTTTCTTCTTCTCTGGCTCTTTCCTTGGGAAGGCCATAAACACGGTGAATGAGAAAGTCACCGATGCTTTGGTAGAAATACCAAAGAAACAAACAACCCAGTCCTAGCTCAGAGGAACTGGAACTCCCAGATAAATACCATCTGGAAAGCAATTGCTCAAGGAACCAAACTCCTTGAACTCACAAACAGGGATAAAGCTGAATAACTGTGATACTCATTTTAAATATTATAAATTTGCTCTGTTTTGAGCAATACAACCTTTGTACTAATTTCCAAAGTCCTAATGCCCCTACAGCATTGGTTTCTCAGACTTTGGTTCTCTATTCCATCTTCTTCATGTCGCAAGTGTGTGACATTGAATTGCGTTGCAGAGCGTGACACTTAGATGTGTCACAGTGCATGACAGAAATTCCTGTCATGCCCCCGACTGAGTAACTTCGGGTAAAGCCAAGCAACTCAGCTTAAGTCACCTGACATTCATCATGGTGTCGAATCGAAAGGGCAACTGTGTGGTCTCAGGTTTAACCCCACTTATCAATGGCGGGGAAAAACTCGGATAAACATCTGAGGGATAACAATAGGGGAGAAAACATCCCTAATACAATTCCTTGATAGGGGAATTCAGTTTGCTTCCGGTGCCAGCCTGAGACCTCTGGCTGACCACAAACGCAAACAAATCAAACTGGCATTAGAAGACCAGTTGTAAGGAGTCATCATAGGCATCATGCCTATGAACCCAAGATACTCTCGAGACCAAATAACCTAGAGGAAGCTCTAGGGGGGAGCGACAACCTAGAGGAAACTCTAGGGGGGAGTACCCAAACCTGGGAAGCAACCACATCCCAACAGACTTGGGATATGATTCCATCCAAGGAATTGTCCACAGGCAGACACAACAACGTCCACCTGATCCCATTAAAACAACCATGAATGCATTAGAACTAGCATTCATGTTTTCTCGTGAAGTTGTATGACTTCACAGACTACCACACTCGATTGCATCAGATCGAGATTCAAAATTCACGACAGAAAGTAGTACAGATACTACACGTGATGGTCAGACCAGATCAACGCGACTGGGCAGCAAAGCTGTCGATGGCAGAATTCGCAATCAATGCGAGCTCGAACACATCGACAGGATTTGCCCTGTTTGAATTAATCTATTGCCACATGCCAAAGATGTGCCTAACAGCACCACCCTTGGACTACCCAGGAGTGAATGATTTCACCCAAAAGGTGAAGGAAAACCTAATGGCAGCACACGACGCGATAATACACAATCGTGCTGCTCAAACAATCCAGGTGAATAAGACAGATGCCTGGACCTGCCTTTGAGAAAAGGCGAGCTTGCATACTTATCCACAGATAAGTTGAACCTACCCAAAGGGAGGGCAGGCAAACTAAAGCCCTTATACATAGGGCCTTACAAAATTCTGGAAACATTTCCAGAGACGTCAAACTACATCCTCAAGTTGCCACCACAACTTGAACAACGCGGAATCCACCCAAGATTCCACATATCCCGGCTTGTACCTCACGAGCCGAATGACCAAGAAATCTTCCCAAATAGGGAAGTAAACATATTCTACAATTTGGGGAAGACCCTGATCACGAAGCAGTAGTTCGCAAAATCTTAAACCATGCATGGGTTCACAATGAACTCTGGTTTAAGGCCAAATGGGAGCTAGGGGACACCACATGGGAACCCCTAGGAAATCATAATGACCTCGTCCACCTGGATGAGTACCTCACATTACAAAATGTGAGGGAACCAGAAAATCTCCCGATCTAAGAAGATACGGAACTTTCGGCATCACTATGCCCCCAAAAATGGAGGTGGAAAAAGTGAAACTGAAGGGCGATCACCCACAGCCAAGAGCGTGGGAAGATTCTGGGTGAGCAACTCGCCCAGACAGCCACACCATGGGCTAGACATCACATGGGCTAGGCGAGTAACTCGCCTAGACCACGTGATCCCCAGGCTCACGTGTAAAACCATATGCAGTACAAACTGCACCGATGGCACAACAAGCGCCATTCCAGGGGCAGCAATTGCTGCTGCAGCCCCAGGCATACTCCCCAGGGAACTTCCCTGGCCAAATCACTCCCTGGATCAGCCAATTTGGCCCAGATCCGACAACCCAGCCAAATATAGGCTGGGAATCAGCTATTGCATCAGTGGTAGCTGCCCAGACAGGTCAACTTCATCAGGAGTTGAAAGAGATAAAGTCCCTTGTAGGAGGGAGATGAGGGAGCGACAGCGGCTCCTTGTCCAGGCCGTCCAAACGGGCATGGTCTGACAACTCAAGGGTGTCAGATGATGCCTGCGATAATTGCACCCATTGGAGGCATGAATACAATAAGGCATGCAGAGATGCTTCGGCATCTTTGCCTCTCTGAAAGACACAGAGAGAGAAGTCGACCTCCAGAAGAGGGAGATCGAGTTGTTAAAACGTGAGCTTGAAGAGGCACATGCACTGGCAGACCTTGCTGCCAAACCCATTATGATGGGGGCCTCCCAGGTCAGGGGGAGGGGATACGGTTCTGGGCCTCATGAGGCATGACCCCATATGGGGACTAGCACACCAAGGGGTGGGGCGCCGACTATCCTGCCACCCCATGGGCAGGCGACCCTGTCCGGGTTGCATAAGGGCCCGCCCTCAGGAGGGCAAACCCATGTCGAGGGTAGATGGGAAGACGGTAGGCAGCCAATGACAGACCCCCAAAAGGGGACCACTACCAGAGGCAGCGGGCCGCCAAGTACCATGACACCCTATGGGCAAGCCACCCTACAGGGAAGTGTCCACATGCTTTTCGAGATGGCCAAAGCCAACAAATTCTCGGCCCAACCCAAGCTGAGAGCAAGCTATCACCCCCGGTGATAGTGGACAACACAAGCCAACTCCGAAAGGAGTTGGATGAGACAGAATCCCTCATGAAAGGGAAATGAGAGAGCGAGACAAGCTCCTCACTCAGGCCATCCAAATAGAGACGACCTGATTACTCAGAGGTGCCAAGAAATGCCTATGAGAACTGTGCCACCCAGAGGCAGGAGTACAAGATTCGCATAGAAGTGCGAAAGATTACCTCTCTCCAAAATGAAGAGAAACCGATTTCCAGAAATCGAGGAACTTGAATGTGAGCCTGAGCTCACTTGCGCACAGGCAGAATCCCACTGCCAAGTCCAACATGATGGGGCCTCCCAGGTTAGGGGGAGGAGATGTGATATTGGGTCTCAGAAAGTGTAACCCAGACAGGGACTAACACGACTGGGATGGGATACCACAATTCTTGCTACCCTGTGGGTAGGTGACCCTGTCCGGACTGCAGAGTGGTGCTCCAACAAGAGCACAGACCCAGGTTGAGGGGAGGAAGGAAGGCAGTAGGCAGCCAATAGCAAACCCCAGGCTGGGACCACTGCTAGAGGCGGCGGGCTGTCAAGTACTTCGACACCCTATGGGCAAGTAACCTTGGTGGGAGGCATCCAATGCAACAGGGAACCGTTCAACCGAGATAAGATAGATCTCGGTCCAAAAATCCTCATGAACACTGGGGAACACAGCATGGGAGCTGTGGCAAGAGGCAACAGCCTCCAAACAGCACCGGAACAAAGTTCCGGGGACTCATGCTGGCCATGAAGTCGAACAATCATTTGCTCCCAAACCAGGAGCAACTAGTACTCTGTCAAGCTCCGCACTTGGCAAGGTGGCTCTAACCATGGAAAACCATCCAGCTAAACAGCCAGATGAACAAACGAAAATCCAGAGCACAAATTTCTCTGGCAAAGTGGAAACCACTCCACTCTGGTGAAAATGCAAGAACTTGCACACAAAACAGTATGCGAAGCACTGTAAAACAATATTTTACAGACCTAAATTATCAATTTGAGGAGGAAACACAGGCTGAAGATGCAAAACATCTTTGGAGAATTTCCCATTGGGAAACCCGATATTTTAAGGACTTCATATATACTTATCCCTATGTATAACACTGCCCACTTTAAAAGACGTTCACTCCTTTTCCTTTTCTTCTTTTTATAACTTGATGTACAATGTTGCCCACTTTAAAGTGGCAAACACATTCCTTATTCATTATTCCTTTTAAGCTTAAACTTTCCTTTTCTTTTTATCTTGTATGCGTTGCAACTGCAATGCAAGGGGGGAGAGTGTCAGGGCACAAGCCCTGGGCCCCCATTACATGTAGTCCTGTTGTAGATTAGTGTCACGTGACAGGCGACGGGTTAAAACCTATCGCTTATCACCCCGTAATACCCACACCTTTGTGACACTTACGGCCTGGTGACCTGAGCGAGCCCCACAGACCTCACAGTCCTCCCCCCTGCACCTCTGCTTACCCTCCGGTTCACCTCCGCCTCCGATCTCTGGTACCTTCTCTGGTGCCTCTTATCCTCACCTTATACATTTATTAATATTTCTACCTACCCAATATTACTACGGACCTCCTAGGACCTCTGTCCACTCTGCAAAGGTTTTCCCACTCCCCAGTAGCTGTTGCTAATTCCACCCTTCACCTACCCACTCCACAATGCTCGATAAGGCGATTCTCTCACAAGCTCACTGACCTGGCAAGTGGGTAAGTCCCCCTTGGGTTTTCCCCTTTGTTCCCATTTGCCTTCTATATAAGTCCTGTACTGTAGTTGATGGCATCTTAGTGCAAAATCGACAAGACTATCCCCCCAGAGTTCGCGCCCTCTTGTTCTGAAGTTAAGGACCAGACTCCTAAGCGTTACTGAACATAGGCACAGCGCTCCTCTCCAAGTCACTGAGGCCATGGTCCTTCATTGC